AGTGAAACGTGAATTGAAACATATCGCTAGATGGTAGCCATTGTAAACCAAGAGTATGAACAATAGTGTCATCGTCTGAACCGATGGTTAAATAAGGTATCTGTTCATCCTTGGGAATAGAAGTAAGAATCTCTGAATGGTTAGAGGACCATTTTTTAAGCTTGAAACCGCCCGCCATGCACAACTGAGTCAACTGAGACACAACTGCTTGTGCTTCTTCCACAGTGTCAGCCCCGCCAAACAGATCATCAACATACCGTCCCTTGCGCAAGCTAGGAGCAGCCAAAGGATACTTGGAACCTTCATCGTTTAAGAGCTGTTGAATAGTGCGCAACGCAAGAAAAGGGGCACATGCAAGGCCGTAGGTAACAGTAGTTAGTTGATAGGCTCGTAAATTGTGTGATTGATCACACCAAAGAATTCGTTGAAAGTTCCAATCGTGAGGATGAACATCTATTTGGCGGTACATTTTCTCCATATCAGAGGAGAATACATAGCGAAAATGGCGAAACCAAATAAGCACATCAAAGAGATCAATTTGAAGCTTAGCTCCAGTATGCAATAAATCATTAAGAGATAAACCCGATGACGAAGGGCTGGATCCATTGAATACGACACGGAGCTTAGTAGTGAGACTGTGCTCTCTCTTTACGCCGTGATGCGGCAGATAGTAAACTTGTTGAGGCTCCGGTAATTGAGAAGGAACTAACCTCATGTGATCCAGCTGTTCGTACTCGGTTAAGAATTCGGTGTAAAGCCCCGCATAAGTGGAATCTACTGAGAGTTTATGAGAAAGTCTAAGCATAATTCGAGCGGCTCTGGGCCGCGAGTCACCGAGAAGATGAGCTGATTTTTTAAATGGTAATCTAACGACATATCTGCCTTCCTTATTACGGGAATGGGTCGACAGAAAATGTTCTTCACATAATTGTTCGTCGGCGGAAAGAACGGTATCGGTTGAAGGTACGCTATCGATCTCCCAGAACTTGTGCATCAAGCGATAGAGATCTTCATCAATGGATACATGAAAGCTGAAAGAGCTACCAGTGGATGCTCCTGGGTGAGTCGGACCTGAGATTATCCATCCTAACTCGGTGCATTGAGCCATAGGTGACCCTAATGGTCCCTTAACGATCCCTTCTTGGAGGATCTGACAATAAACCTCTGCCCCGAGCAGGAGATCAATTTGACGTGATTGGAAATACTCAGGATCTGCAACTAGTAGCTCCCTCAAATGCGGCCATGAACTAAACGTCAGAGAAGCCGACGGCAATGAAGAAGTGATTCGCGGTAAAACATGAGCGGGTACAGTGCATTCAAAAGAGGAATCAAAATGTGGCTTTAACTGAAACTGCACAATTCCTCGTGAGTTATTGCCTTTCTTTCCACCGACTCCTATTAAGGAGATATTAGATTTAATTCGAGACAAATGCAATCGCTGTGCTAAACGTTCTGTTATTAACGATATCTCAGAACCTTGATCAATAAGAGCACGAGCTTTAAAAC